CTGGCGTCCCTCTTTATGAGTATTTATGAACAGCTTAACACAAAAAATCCAAAGTGACGCACACAGAAATTAAAAACACAGAACATACAGCACCCCATAGAAGAATTATTATTATTATTATTATTATTATTAGTAGTAGTAGTAGTAGTAGTAGTATTACTATTATATCACCTTCCTCTTCCCTTACAGACCACATTCCCAGTTTTGGATCCTGTTGGATATTGAGGTGTCCTTTTCTAAATAATAACAATACGGAATTTGGCAAGTCAGTCATTAACATTTGTGGAAACTGGATCCTGCCTGAAATTCAAAAGGCCTGAAATTTTGCCCAATTTCAAATTTGTCTGCAATTGCTCTTCGGCTCTGCTCTAAGCAGGCCTTTCGCCATCAGGCAATGTGCTGGTTTTGGATGTATCTTTAATGATGTGATTATCTCCTATCTCCCGGAGGGCAGTTGTAGGCTAGAGAATGTAATAAACTGCCAAGGAGAATGTTTTTATGGTTCTCTTTCAGTGGCTTGAGAATAGCTGATAGGTACAGCCTGTTCATCTTCGTTTCCCAGCATAATCTACCTCACTGATTCATGGAATCATCGAACTGTAGAATTGGAAGGGCCACAAAGAGTAATCTAGTCCAACCCTCTGCATTGCAGGAACCACAGCTAATGAATCCTTGACAGATGTCCAGGCAAACTTTGTTTAAAAACCTGCAATGAAGGAGAGTCCACCACCTTCGGAGGTTGTCCATTCCACTGCTGAACAGCTCTTATTGCCAGAAAACTCTTCCCTAATGTTTAGCTGGAATCTCCTTTCTTGTACAGTGGTACCTCGGGTTACATACGCTTCAAGTTACATACGCTTCAGGTTACAGACTCTGCTAACCCAGAAATAGTGCTTCAGGTTAAGAACTTTGCTTCAGGATGAGAACAGAAATCGTGCTCCAGCGCCGCGGTGGCAGCAGGAGGCCCCATTAGCTAAAGTGGTGCTTCAGGTTAAGAACAGTTTCAGGTTAAGAACGGACCTCCGGAACGAATTAAGTACTTAACCTGAGGTACCACTGTAATTTGAATCCAGAACTTCAGGTGGAAGTCTAGCTAAGGCAGAATAGAGCAACAGCCAAACTCACCCAGTGAGCTTCATGGCAAAGAGGGGATCTGAACCCTGATCTCTACAGTGCTAGCCCAATGTTCTAACTATGACACATGTTGACTCTTGTGAGAGCTCTACACCACAAGTTGACTCACTGCTATGTGTTGGTGTGACAGAGCATAATATCCAACTCCCTGCAACAGGTGTGGACTAGCTTTGGCCCTCCAGATGTTGCTGAACTCTCATCGGCTCTGGCCAATGGTGAGGAATAATGGACATTGTAGTTCAACAACATATGGAGGATCAAAGCTTTTCCATACCTGCCTTACAATCTGCTAGACTACAGATTTTCAAACTATGGTCAATGGTGGTCCAAGATTCATTCTAGTGGTCCACAGAAATATTTTTCTGAACCAGCAATGCCTGTCAACAGTGTTAGCTCACCCTGAGCTTCTTGGCTCCCCACCGCCAGCATGCAGCCCTCAACAGATGACCCCTCAGGAAATCCCTGTGGCCTTCTAGATGATGTCAGACTCCACCTCCCATCAGCCCCAGCCAGCACGATCAATGGTCAGGGATAATGGGAGTTGTAGTTCAACAACATCTGGAGGGCCACAGGTTTCCTACTCCCGCTCTATGGTGTAGTGATAGATCCTTTGAGTTTTGGAAGAGTTGTCTATTCACCTGGAAGCCAAGGCAGAGAAAACCCCTTGCCCTCTCATTATTTAAGAAGCATAACATCCTTTGAGGGCTTGCCCTTGCCCCATTGCTTTCCCTAGGAAAACATGCTCTTTAGTGATAGATCAGAACAAAGGTCTGTCCGGCGAAAACCCGATTTACATTTACTCCAATTCAGCGGTAAAGATCAAGTTTCCCTGGGGGAAGGCAGTGGGGCAAAGGCAAGTTTGCGTGGGCCCAGAGTTTCAAGCCTAGTGCATTGCCCAGTTAAGTCACAACAGTATATCAGGGTTAAACTATACCTGAGTGCATTTTATTTTATTTTTTGCATCTAAATTGCAGGTGTTAAATGTAAACCACTTTCTCTTTTTCTTTCTTTTGGAGCGTAGTGTTAATTAATGGGATCAGAGCAGGCATGGAAAGGAAATCTAATCCTCTCTGTCATTGCTGAGATCCCCAGGAAAATCCCTTTTCTGAAGCTGGTATTTGGTTTGGTGGTGAGGGTTCCTCATTGGCACCCATGGTGGGATTTCCTAACCAATGTAAACAATACTTTCTGAAGAGGGATTTCAGAGTTGTTTCATGGTGCAGAAAGGAGACTGTGGGCATTGATTATATGAAAAAGGTTAATACACCAACAGGTGGGAGTGCTGGTGGGTAAATTTTGCTGCGAGGAGGAGAAAAGGTTTTACCTTGGAAGGAATCAAAGGGTTTCATATATTTCTCTAGTCAGCACTGAGGCAGAGTTAGCCTGTGTTAGGCTGGCAGGGAAACTGATGTGGGATGTAAAACACAGGAGCAGTCAATGACAACATTCCTAGAGTGTACATGTTGAGACATGGGGAGGCACGTCTGTCCAGCAAGCAGGTAAACTTCCTGGGACAGACTTCCTCCGCATGTGACCAGAGGTGTGTGTGGCCTCACCTGTGCAGGTAATGACAAAAGCACAGGGCAGCCAGCCATCTCTCTCTCTCTGCCATCTTCCTTCGAGGAAGCAGCATCTAAGGATGCCCTCTTGGCTCTCAGCCAAGAGAGGAGGAAAGGACTATCTTCCAGTAGAATAGATTCTATATGTATTTTACCTTTTTAAGCCTGTCTGCCTTCTGGGATCATATTGTGAACAGAACGTGAGTAAACTCTTTTATACTTTCATAAAGACTGTGTCGTGTCTTGTATTTTAAGAGGGAACAAAAGGGGAAATTACCAGGGTAATTATTATAGAGGTTCTAGTGAACCTGTGCAGACGTTACCGTTGCAAACTTAAAGGGGAATGTCATAAACTCTGCTGATATTTTGGGAACTTGTTAGCACAAGTTGGATTAGGATATAATCTCACAATATATCCTCTCCTGCACCCCTGAACATTCCCACAACTGACACAGTGACAGAATTATTTATAAGCAGCTGATGGGCTGTTGGTATTTAACTGGCAGCTTCTCCATCACTAGAGAACAGAGAAGGGGAACAGGCGTCTGTCCATATGTCACTGGACTCAGACTCCCAGCAGCCCCCCAGGAAGCAGGGCCGATGGGCAGGGTTGATGGGAGTCGTAGTCCAACAATATTTGGAGGACTACAGCGGCTCAGGGTTGCTGCTTCAAGTCTTGTCTATGGGCTTTTGGGAGGCACCTGGCTGCCTACTGAAGGATGCTGAACTGGATAGAGCTACTGTCCAGTCTTCTTAACCACATTGTTATTGAGTTTTATTCAATTACAAATCACTTTCCATAGGATCTCTGTAAGCAATTTCACAGTAGGAACATCTGTGAGGAGGGTCATGGCTCAGCAGCATACCCTACAACATTTATCCGATGAAAATAGGGACATCCTAGTCAATGATCATGATGATGATGATAGCAACAACAACTTCTTTATTATTTATACCCTGCCCATATGACTGGGTTGTCCCAGCCACTTTGGCAGCTTCCAACATACATAAAAACTTAATAGAAGATTAAACATTTAAAACCTTCCCTATACAGGGCTACCTTCCGATGTCTTCTGAAGGTTGTATAGTTACTTATCTCCTTTGTTTGGGGTGTTTGTGTCACATAACTCCAGAACCCTCCAACATTTCTTTGATGGAAATATGGACGTCCTAGGGAAAAGCGGAACATCTGGGATAAAATCAGAAACTGGGATGGCTTCTATAAATCAGGTACATTTGAAGGGTCTTCAGCAGTGGTGTGCAGAAGGTCTCAGCTTCAATCCCCAGCACTGCCAGGTAGAATTGGGAGAGAACTCTGTCTGAAACCTTGAAGAGCCTCTGGCAATTAACGTAGAGAAGACTGAACTAGATTGATCCATGGGTCAGTATACGGCAGTTCCCTCTGATCCTAAACAACCTGAAGGAGTGTCTCCACGCCCATCGTTCTGCCTGGACACTGAGGTCCAGCGACGACGGCCTTCTGGCGGTTCCCTCACTGCAAGAAGCCAAGTTACAGGGAACCAGGCAGAGGGCCTTCTCGGTAGTGGCACCTGCCCTGTGGAACACCCTCCCACCAGATGTCACAGAGAAGAACAACTACCAGACTTTTAGAAGACATCTGAAGGCAGCCCTGTTCAGGGAAGCTTTTAATGTTTAACAGACCACTAATTATTATTATTATTAAAGTGTTAGCCCCCCTGATCATTTTTGGTTGCCCTTCGAAAGGTGCAGAACACATTTCCTGGTTCAGCATGATCACTGTGGCCTCAACAACACAAGGTGTGCTTTATAGCTCAAGGTAGTGAATGAATACAATCTGGGTCATCAAAGTGTCAAGCGAAGGGTGTGTCCTGGGTTAGTTTTGCCTCCCAGCCCCACTGTTCCACGGAGCTGTTCGCCCTCTGCTTCCTGACACTGGTGAAGTTATTAGGCCTCATTATGGATAGGAGTTTAATCTACTGCAAATAGCCCTGCCATTAGAGTATCATAAGAAGCAATTATCTCTCTCCCCCCCTCCGCCCCCAACTTGCCGCCTTGCATGTGGGGGAGCTCAATGCGGCTTTCAAATGCAGAGGAACTTCATGCCCACCCACAGTCAGCTGAAGGCCCCTTCTGCGCAGGGCTGTGCTTGCTACATCCTCACGGAAGTCTCTCTCCAGTCTTTTGTACCACCCTCAATTACCTGTGCAGGTAACTGTCTCATACTGAGTCAGACCATTGGTCCAGCTAGTTCAGTATTACCTGCACTGACTGACAGTGGTTCTCTGCAGGGTCTCAGGTGAGGGATCTTTCTTTTCCAGCTCTACCTGGAGATGCCAGGGATTGAACCTGGGACCTTTGGCATGCCAAGTAGATGCTCTGAATGCTGAGCCACCTAAAAGAATCTTCCCCTAAAAGAATAGAGAGAGAATAAGGTTCTAGTCCTCATGGTTCTAAATAAAGGACTGAATTAAGCAGGAACACAGGAGGCTGTCATATACCAATCAGTTCATTGGTTCATCTAGTTCATTGGTTCATCAGAATTGTCTATGCTAACTAGCAGCAGGTTGCCAGGATTTCTGGATGAGGGCATTGTGAGCCCTACCTGGTGGTGCCAGATGTTTTGATGATTCAATATATGGCAGCTTCAGAGGTCCACATGAGCCATGAACCAACCTTCACCATGCCTGTAGCCATCCCCTAGAGCAACCTTTCTCAACCTTTGGGTCCCCAGATGTTGTTGAACTACAACTCCCATCACCCCTAGCTAGCAAGGCCAGAGCTCAGGGATGATGGGAGTTGTAGTCCAACAACATATGGGGATCCACAGGTTGAGAACCACTGCTCTAGAGTCTAGCTATTGTGGACTACAACTCCTATCAGCTCTAGCCAGGCTTTGCCAGGTGGAAGGCTGATCCCAAACCATTAGAGGGCACTGGATTCATTAAAGCTGGGCTAAACTTTATTTATTTACTGATTGATTAATTAATTAATTAATTACGTAATTAATTGCCTGTCCTTCACCATGAGGTTCCAGGACGGGTTACAGCATTAAAACACAACATTCAGGCTGTTTTAAATGTTGCGTTTTAAAGATGGAAGGAAGAAACTACCCCCAGCCAGAGAAGAATGGCAAACCAAGTTGATGGACTATGACGCAATGGCAAAATTAACTGGGAAGCTCAGAAATCAAGAAGACGAGAACTTTAATAAGAAATGGGAAAAGTTTATAATTTATTTACGAAACCACTGTAAGCAGGTTAAAACATTAGCAGTATTTTAACCACACTCGTAAAGTAATGGAAAGTATGGATAACACTGGTCAACAACAAATTTGTTGTCTGCATTTTTTCAGTTGATTTAGGTCGAATCTGATGCGCTGAATCAAAAAATCACATTGGTTTTGCTCAATCAGGTCAAGTTTTTGAGCTATGGCCACATGTTGTTTTTTTACGTTTTTGTTCACATGTACGCTTGTGTGGAGCGTTTTAGAAGAAGTTGGTGGGGGTAAAATGCCATGTTGAATAATTGTTTTGATTGGAAATGATTATTTTAATGACAAGAAGTATTCAGGTCCAATAGTTCTGGGTGATTATGTCAAAAAGGGATCAGTTTGAAGTCATAAAACCTCGAAATCTTTCATAAATTGGTGCGGCAAAGCATAAAGTTGGGGGATCAAAACTAAGTTAATGGGGCAGCTGCCCCACAAAGTGTATAGGAAAGTGTATAGGAAGTTCTTCGGAGAACTTCCTGACATTAGTGATGAAGATGCCTCCAGTGTTGAAGGACATGAAGAAGAAGAAGTGGTTCTTGAAGATGATGCTCCACATCCATTTTCCCAAAAGGAGTTGAATGATCTAGTTCGCGACCTCAGCTTGTCAAAGGACTCTGCCGAACTGTTGGCATCCAGATTGAAGGAAAAAAACCTCCTCTCTGACAGTGCTCGCATCAGCTTCTTCCGCAGCAGGCATCAAGAGTACCTCCGTTTTTTCTCAGAAGAGAAGGACTTGGTGTACTGTGCAGATATTGCGCAGCTTCTGCTCAAGCTTGGAGTGCCACAGTACGAACTCAAAGATTGGAGACTGTTCATTGACAGCAGCAAGCGATCACTGAAATGTGTTCTGCTACACAACGGCAACCAGTTTGCCTCTATACCCCTGGCTCACTCGACTACACTGAAGGAGAACTATGAAGCGGTGAAGTAGCCAAGAGCATAAGGTCAAACAGATTCCTCACTGGCCTTGCAGACAACTTCTTGTCCAGAAAGTGGGAGAAGCAACAAGAGGAACAGCCATTTTAGATCTGGTCCTAACCAATGTTGATGACCTGGTTAGTGGGGTAGAAGTGGAAGGATCATTAGGCGCGAGTGATCATGCTCTTCTGAAGTTTACTATACAGCAGAAAGGAGCAGCCAAGCATACTAGGACTCAATTTCTTGACTTTAAGAAAGCCGACTTCATAAAACTTAGGGAAGTGCTGGGTGAGATCCCATGGACAGTAATACTAAAAGGAAAGGGAGTTTATGATGGCTGGGAGTTTGTTAAGAGGAAGATAGTAAAAGCACAACTTCAGGCAATACCAATGAGACGGAAACATGGAAGGTGCCTAAAGAAGCCAGGGTGGCTATCTAAAGAACTTTTAACTCAGTTAAGATTAAAAAGGATGTGTACAAAAATGGAAAAGGGGGAAACCACCAAAGAGGAATTCAAACAAATAGCCAGCACGTGTAGACACAAAGTCAGAAAAGCTAAAGCACAGAATGAACTCAGGCTTGCTAGAGAGGTTAAAAGCAACAAAAAAGGCTTTTATGGGTATGTTCGTAGCAAAAGGAAGAACAAAGAAACAGTGGGGTCACCCAGAGGAGAAGGTGGTGAAATGCAAACAGGGGACACAGAAAGGGCTGAACTCCTCAATGCCTTCTTTGCCTCAGTCTTCTCCGATAAAGAAAACAATGCCCGACCTGAAGAATTTGGAGCAAATGATTCAGCAGAGGAATCACAGCCCAGAATAACTAAGGAGATAGTACAAGAATACTTGGCTAGTTTAGATGTATTCAAGTCTCCAGGGCCAGATGAACTGCATCCAAGAGTATTAAAAGAACTGGCAGATGTGATCTCAGAACCACTGGCAGTCATCTTTGAGAATTCCTGGAGAACAGGCGAAGTCCCGGCAGACTGGAGGAGGGCAAATGTTGTCCCTATTTTCAAAAAGGGGAAAAGAGAGGACCCAAATAATTACCGCCCAGTCAGTCTGACATCAATACCAGGGAAGATTCTGGAGCAGATCATTAAGCAAACAGTCTGTGAGCACCTAGAAAGGAATGCTGTGATCACCAATAGTCAGCATGGATTTCTGAAAAATAAGTCATGTCAGACTAACCTGATCTCGTTTTTTGACAGAATTACAAGCCTGGTAGATGAAGGGAATGCAGTGGATGTAGCCTACCTTGATTTCAGCAAGGCATTTGACAAGGTGCCCCATGATATTCTTGTAAAGAAGCTGGTAAAATGCAGTCTTGACTATGCTACCACTCAGTGGATTTGTAACTGGCTGACTGACCGAACCCAAAGGGTGCTCATCAATGGTTCCTCTTCATCCTGGAGAAGAGTGACTAGTGGGGTGCCACAGGGTTCTGTCTTGAGCCCGGTCTTATTCAACATCTTTATCAACGACTTGGATGATGGACTCAAGGGCATCCTGATGACACCAAACTGGGAGGGTGGCTAACACCCCAGAGGACAGGATCACACTTCAAAACGACCTTGACAGATTAGAGAACTGGGCCAAAACAAACAAGATGAATTTTAACAGGGAGAAATGTAAAGTATTGCACTTGGGCAAAAAAATGAGAGGCACAAATACAAGATGGGTGACACCTGGCTTGAGAGCAGTACATGTGAAAAGGATCTAGGAGTCTTGGTTGACCACAAACTTGACATGAGCCAACAGTGTGACGCGGCAGCTAAAAAGCCAGTGCAATTCTGGGCTGCATCAATAGGAGTATAGCATCTAGATCAAGGGAAGTAATAGTGCCACTGTATTCTGCTCTGGTCATACCTCACCTGGAGTACTGTGTCCAGTTCTGGGCACCACAGTTCAAGAAGGACACTGACAAATTGGAACGTGTCCAGAGGAGGGCAACCAAAATGGTAAAAGGCCTGGAAACGATGCCTTATGAGGAATGGCTAAGGGAGCTGAGCATGTTTAGCCTGGAGAAGAGGAGGTTAAGGGGTGATATGATAGCCATGTTCAAATATATAAAAGGATGTCACACAGAGGAGGGAGAAAGGTTGTTTTCTGCTGCTCCAGAGAAGCGGACACGGAGCAATGGATCCAAACTACAAGAAAGAAGATTCCACCTAAACATTAGGAAGAACTTCCTGACAGTAAGAGCTGTTTGACAGTGGAATTTGCTGCCAAGGAGTGTGGTGGAGTCTCCTTCTTTGGAGGTCTTTAAGCAGAGGCTTGACAACCATATGTCAGAAGTGCTCTGATGGTGTTTCCTGCTTGGCAGGGGGTTGGACTCAATGGCCCTTGTGGTGTCTTCCAACTCTATGATTCTATGGTTCTATGTGCTGGAGAAAATTGGTTATGATCAGCATAAGTGGTTTATTTGTGTTTACCTGAAGATGGTGAACTTTTTGTTGGGACAACAGTCTGGCTTCACCAAGTACCCATGTTTTCTGTGCATGTGGGATAGTAGGGACCGTGCTCAGCATTACACGAAGAAGAACTGGCCTGTACGGGATGAATTGGTGCCTTGCAAAGAAAGGAACGTCATCAACGACCCTCTGGTGGACAGAGACAGAATATTCTTCCCACCGCTGCACATCAAGCTCTGCTTAATCAAGCAGTTCACCAAGGCTCTGGACAAGGATGGTGACTGCTTCACTTACTTGTGCCAGGCTTTTCCAGGATTGACCATGGAGAAGTTGAAAGCTGGCATCTTTGACGGTCCTCAGATCCGTCAACTCATCAGAGATCCAGAGTTCGGAAACTCAATGAACGAAGTGGAACTGGAAGCGTGGAAGGCATTTGTTCTGGTAGTGAAGAAGTTTCTTGGCAACAATAAGGCCAGAAACTACGCAGAACTTGTCAACAACATGCTGACTGATTTCAGAAACCTGGGCTGCAACATGAGCATGAAGATGCACTACCTATTTTCACATATGGACCGGTTTCCTGAGAACCTGGGTTCAATGAGTGACGAGCAGGGGGAGAGATTCCATCAGGACATGAAAGAGATGGAGACCAGGTATCAGGGTCGCTGGGATGCAGTCATGATGGCTGACTACTGTTGGACTCTGCTGCTGAGCATTCCAGGAGTTCCAAGAAATGGAAGTTCAAGCCCTAAGTTTGAAAAATGGTGAAGCAACATGCAATTTACGTGTACTTA